TTGAAGCATCATACCCACATCCGTAATTTTGCCGCTTGCTTTCAAGCTTGACTTTGAATTTTTCTCGGCAAAGTACCATGCAATACAAACGGGTTATATGTGCTGCCATATTGCTTGCTAGTTGGTTGTGCGTACAAGCACATACAGCCGGCTTCTCTAATGATTGGCTTCGAGGGCTGCTTCCACACAAACAAGCTCTTGTTGCTGGGCATACAATCGGTCTTTTCTACAAAGTAGCACAGTCGGCTAACCTATGCGTGGTAGTGTCGCTTGCCTAGGTATAGCAGACCAGGCGCTTGCCATGCTAGGAGCGTCATATTGCCTACACTCACAGCCAGCTCTTTGAGACCTCTTCTATGATAATCACAATGATGTCGGCTGCTCTTCACAATGTGAGCTGGCTTGTCCATCCGGCATTCAAGAAGCTCCTTATGCTAGCACTCACAAAAGCTCACACAAGCACAGCCGGCTATAATGTTGCGGCCGGATGTATCACAAGCTCCTTTTGCGAGGAAGGATTTGTTGGCTGCTCAATGTGACTTTACAGCCGGTAAAAACCGAGATACTCAAGCTGCTTATCCCATATACATGCACCCGGAGGAGGTGGCTGGATGCCTGGCTCTAAATGAGCAATTTGCCGCTTGTGTATGTGGAACGCTTGACATGCTAGAGCTGATGGGGTTGTTGATAACACAAGAACCCACGCACCCACAAACAAAACAATCCGGTTGTATGGTCTTAGAGTAATGCCGTTTATATGAGAGTGTTTGCTGGCTGCTCCATGCTTAACCCATATGCACACAACGGAGGTCTTGCGGCAATACCGGCTGCTATCACCGACTACCGGATGCTATAAATTGCTCAAGCTTGGAATGGTGATAGCTCTTGTATGGAGTTGGCCGCCTCCTCATGTGTCACAATGCCGGCTGAGTTCTTGTGCTTGGGGCTAGCTGCATATAAATCATATTGCTAATCACAAGGGATGCCGGCTGTGAGTGCTTCAAACCGCAGCTACCCAATTCTAGCTTTGAAGGTTAGGCACCTAACTAGCCGGGTGTCTTGCTTGATACTTAGCAATCCTAGCCCCTTGTTCATACACAGCTCATAGTTGGAGCTTGCTCTTCCCAGGCGTTGCAAGGCGGATATAAGGCTGGAGCTTTAAATAGCTATGCCCATGCGTCATTGCTGCCGCCTTACTCATGCGTTATGGCTGCATTAAAATGAGGCACGAGTGGAAGCACTTGAATCATGTGCTCACAGCCGGTTTGTATGGTGCAACTCATGTGCAACTCATCCGGTTTTGTGAGCTTGAATTCGATTGCATTCATACAGCCGTCAATAATGCCGGATGCTCAATTGAGTGACCTCATGCATACAAACGGCATAGCTGGCCATGGTTGCAAACATGCCTTCCCCATGCGGCAAAATGTCGCTTGTATGTACTCGAAGTGACAAACCTTTGAGCTCTTTCTTTCATTTGTAGGTACACAACCGTCCATTACGACGGATGCATGGTGGCTGTGCTTGAACCGGTTGTATCACCACACTTCTTTCATGCGTGATAGGGGTGGTTGTATATGTGAGAATGGAGGCTTGTGATAGTGCCATTGAGTGCCACTAATTGCCGTTTGTGTATACTCGACGTAAAAGCTAAAGAATGCATGGTAGCCATGCACTACTCATGAAATGAGTATAAATATACACATAATGGTTCCACTATTGAATATAAATATATGGAATATCGAAGTTAGGCGGCCTGACTTGCAATTGCATTTTTTTTTTTACAAGATAAAAATCATAACAATGATTATGTAAATATCATATTAATGATTTAAAAATAATAATGATATCAAAATTATAATAATGATTAGGTATCAAAATCATAATAATGATGGTCAGCTTATAAATAAAAATATCTTACAAGCTTGACCGCCTGACCCTTGACATTCGGTCATATGACGCCTGTAGTACTTAGCAATCGAGCGCTATTTCATTTTAAGGACACAGAAGGTTGTTTTGCCGCCTGATCCCTGAGAAGGAGACGACTGCATAGATGTATGTCCACACGACATGTATGGCTGCTGGAGCGCTTACTGTGCCGAATGGATTCTGAGGGCCAGAAGGGGTGACCAAGCCGCCTTAATAACCCCCTTAATTTGATTGTGAATGCCTCTTTTGAGGTATTCTAGAAACTGTCTGGGTAGGGCGGCAGTTAAGCCGGCTCAGACACTTGGGATAGGGAGGAGGCACTTGGTTTTTGAACTCAACCGTAGGCCGCCTCCTGTCAAGAGGTACAGACTGCTGTGAAGCCCTCTCAGTGGTACTCTCCCCACAGACGGCACCAAATGTTTCGGGGTTTTTTGATGTGTCCTGCGGGAGAGTTACAACACCGAGACTGACCTCCAGCTGCATGTACCTGCAAAACAACGGAGACTCCCAAGGGTGGGAGTTCCGCCTCCGACGATCAAGTTAGAATGTGTTTGAGGAGTATAGTGCGAAAAGTAATAACCCCTCCTGAGTCAGGAGGGTTCTGCAATGAGGATTGCTCAGTTAATAATCCCTCCTCGGTTAGAAAGCTTTGGCAATGAAGATTGCTTGGTTAATAATCCCTCCTGGGTCAGGAGGGTTTGGCAATGAAGATTGCTTGGTTTTTGAGAGTATTGAATGTGTATTCAATGTATGTTGTTATTGTTGGTTGTTTTATAAATGAGGATGGTTCCTCTATTTATAGAGAAGGAGATCATTTTCCCTTCTAGGGTTTGGTGACACGTGTCAGCAAACTATTGGGACACATGTCGCGTTAACAGTGGTCCACTTGTTAGGGGTATTTTACCCCCAAACATGTTGGAAATTTAATTTATGACGGAATATTCCGTCGAAAAATACATATATTCCGACGGATTTAATTTCTGTTGGAAACTTCCGACGGATTGTTTGAATTCGTCGAAAATTTCCGACGGAATATAAATCCTTCGGAAATTTCGAATTTTTCGACGGAATTATGCGTCCGTCAGAACCGGTCCGTTAGAAATGGGCTGTTTTCTAGTAATGATTTTTTGAAGCACTGGTGCTAATTATATACTCTGTATTTTTTTTCTTCAGATTTCATTAATATGCATTCCTTAAATAATTTTCTTTTGACTATTTCAATTATTAATTGTAAATAATGTGGTTCATGTATATCCTTAAATGTAAATTATTTTTATATCTAATTATAATCTTTATATACAATATAATGCAACTGAACATAAATTACAAGAAAGATTAATTCTAACCGTGCATCGCACGAGAATAACCTAGTTATTTACTAGATTAGTCTCGTGCAATGCACGATTTGATCAAATAAATTTTTTTAAATTTGTTTATTTTTTCATACCAAAATTAAAAACAAAAATATTCCCAAAACAAATAAAACATCAATTTGTTTTTTTAAAAAAATAGAGCTCAGAGAAAAATTGAATGATGAAAAGGGTACCTGAGGAAGAAAAATTGAATTATTATTGTTAAGGAGAATAGATAGTTTTTCAGAATTTGATAATAATAATAATAATGTAGCTAACCAAAATTTTAATAAAATAAAATAAAAATCATAAAATGATGATATCATTTACAGTTTTGGAGGGAAAATTTTTAATGACAACACGACATGTGTCTAATATTAAAATAGATTGATGTCTACGGTTGCTACTTTAATATTAGTTATAGATTTATTTTGCTCTTTCGTATTTCAAACTACCATGGTAACGCTAGGGTTGGGCGTGAGCCACGAGGTTGGAGTTAAGCACAAGTACTAGGTTGAGGTGAAGTCTGTTTCCTATTAGTGCGCAAAACTGCATTCTGGTGAATATTATGTAGTCTTGCTCTTCAAATGTAGTACACCAAAGTAATTAGAGTAGCTAGGCACATTTGCCACGCCACAACTTATATCGTTACTGTGTATAATTGTATCTTCTTATTATCCCATCATTTCTCCCACGGAATGTGAATTTCACTTACGACATTAAACTAATGGAGCAAATGCTAATCCACTTAGAAATATCTTTACTTTATGCTTCAATGAACGTATACATGCAAATTTAATGAACAAATTCTTAGTATTCTCACTGATGTGTTCAAATAAAGCTAGCATTTACCTATACTATCACGTATACACTATAGCCTTAATCTTAATTTCACCGGTGCAACCAAACAAGCAATAAAATGTTGTGGGACATAATCAAGAACGTAGTAAACATTTTAACAAGCGATTAGACACATTACATACAATAAATTAAAGCTCAATCGAAACAAATTAAGCACGTTTAGTATTTTTTGTTGATATACGTTTTCATTATAATGTCAATGTTGATTATCAGTGTCATCATATATTTAAGTAAGCAAAATTAGGGGTTAACATGAATCAATTTTGGATCGGATATTCATATCCAAAAATTCAGATATTTGATATTCGGATAAGATCCGAAATTTTCGATGGATTAAAATTGTGATATTTGTTAAACTTATTTTATTTTTAGTATAACTGGACTTAAAATTAGTTTTGGCAATCATCACTTGCATACATAAAGTATTGGGCCATATAAGGCTAAACTGGCTAGTTGGAGAACGGGCCTAATTGGGCCATATAAGGCTAAACTGGCTAATCTCTCGCTAAAACAATTGGGTATAATTAAGTGAAAAAAAAAAACTCTGTAAACAAGGTGATTCATTATATGAATCCGACCTAATAAACCTCCTCATCATTCAATTTCAATTAATCGCCTCTTCATCGATCAAAGACATCTATACTCCTCCAAATCTTCCACAATTTCATAACCAAAAAAAAAAAAAAAAAAGAAGAAGTATGTAAGCGTCAATTATTTCTTAATTATATATGAAATAAGTGTTTTTTTTTTAGTGTTTTTTATTTAAGATTATAATTATGCTAATTGAGTATCCATGATTTAATTTCCTTGTTGAATTGCAGGCATCATAATAATTTAGACCTTGGACATGTGCAAACAATGGCCAAAATCGATAGGATAAGCAGTTTACCAGATGAATTATTAAGCGAAATAGTTTCTCGCCTTTCCGTAAACGAGGCGGCTACTACCTGTGTATTATCAAGGAGATGGCGCCATGTCTTTGCTTTGATTACCCGGCTCGAGTTTGATCATTCTTGTAGGGCTACACTTAAACAGTATAAGATGTTTGTTGAAAACGCGTTGCGTTCTTGCAGATCTAAAAGAATAACTATGCTTAGACTCAATATTGGGCTTGTTTTAATTTTTGGTTGTCCTTCCCTTTAAGCCGCGGAGTCAAGCAACTCGAAGTTGTTGCTCGTGTGAGGAATGCCGATAAGCTACCATTAGCCCTTTTCGAGTGTCAAACATTAGAGGTGTTAACTCTAGATGTGAATCAAACTCTTGAACTTCCCTCGTCTTTTAGTTTGCCAAACTTGAAAGTGTTACGCCTGCATATAGCTTTTTTCCGTGATGAAGATTTTATAACTAGGCTAGTTTCGAGGAGTCCATTACTCGAATGCCTAGATTTGGCAGGAAGCAGGGAATGTTTTGAACCTATCAATGATGTTATTTCTGCACCTTTTCTTAGTAGTTTAGTTATAAGACTTATAACTCTTAATTAACATCAAAGTCAGAGAAATAAGTTAATTCTTGATGCTCCTAATTTGAGGTATCTAGACTATTCTATAGAATCGATTGGAGATCTGAATTCACTCGTCGAAGCTCAGTTAAATATGCCCTTGACAGAAGTAAGGCAGTTCAGATCATTGTCTAATGTTCAATACTTGTATCTCGGCACAAGGTGCATGGAGGTTTGTTTGTTAAATCATTTAATTATTCTGTTACAATTATATACAAATTTCTCTAATTATCAAACTAATTATTGTACTACTTTCTCTGGTGCTAGAGTCTCAAAAAATGTGGATTAAAGCATAATAAGCTGCCTATATTTTGTAATTTAGAGCTTAAATTTGCCTTGAGTCAATCCTATCAAGAAGTAGTGTTGGAGATGCTTCATGCTTCACCTGTTCTAGAAACAATTTTCTTTCAGGTTAGCGCGTTTTTTTTAATACATGTTCATCCACTCTTAAATCGATTGTCTATGTCTTTAATCCTTACACTGATATGACCTTTTCAGGAATTGAACGAAATTTGGAATGCCGAAGTTTTAGAAGAAGTTGATAATTGGAATAAAGTTGAAAAGATCCCATCTTGTTTGGAGTCGCACCTCAAAAGAATTGTGATAATGCAGTACAATCCGTGGACTAATTTGGAGCAAGCACTGGTTAAATATTTTCTGAGATTCGCATTAGTTTTGGAGGAATTGGTTGTTATAATGCATCCGAACTCGCTGCTGACACTAGCCGAAACGATATTACTTGAAAGGGAATTACAAAATCTACCAAAAGGCTCAACAAGTTGTTCAATCAAAGTACAATAATTTTTGTCTCAGATTGGTGACGGGGATTTTTGAGCATGTATTAGATGATATGGGATGACACCATACTTTGGCCACTTGAACAACATACGTATGTGTTTTATATTGGCATGCATTTTTCAAGCGGTCTGAAATTGGATTTAGAGTATTTTTTTTTTATTAGGTTGTAATTTGCAAAATTAAAAAAAAAAAAAAAAAAGCCTTAAAGTTTGTCAATCGCAAAAGGGGTAGTTTTTCAGGTTATAAATGACAAATTTTAATTGCCTATCAATTCAATTGTGTATTGACATTAAAAGTCAAAATATTAATGAATGTATACATGGAAATTTATGAAAATTCTAATGTAATCTTATGATTTTTAACTACCATAATTTTTTAAAATGGACGGTTGAGATTATTTTTTTTTGATTTATTTTTAATAGTAATTCTAATTAAAAATCAATTTTTTTAATTATTTTATATATTTTTTATTTCCAGAATTTCGAAAATATTAAAAATTAATTTCTAGAAGATAAAAATATATTTAGTATAATGACTACGTATTAATTTAAGTCTCCAATTTAGTTCAATAAAGAGAAATGTAGATAGAAAGGTAGGAGCTTTTAACAAACTTGTGGTTTCTTCATTAATAGGACTTTCATCTTTAGCATATTCGGGACTTCCCGAGCTTCTTGAACAAATAATGTGTCGAAAGTAAAGGTTTAAAAAACAGAAGTCTCAAGTTGAAGAGAAATGTAGGTAGTCAGGTTGGAGATTATTTACATAAATCTACTATATCTTCACTTGGTAGGCCTTTGATCAAGAGTTCCCCAAGCATTGGATATATGATATAAAAATTAAGTCTCCAACTTATGAGAAATGATCAAACTAAGACAAATAGGTTGCAACCTGTGGTATCTTCTAGTATTAGGGCTCTAATCTTTCCAGTATTTAAAACAACCTGATTTGCCATCATTACCATCAAATTTGTGCCCCTAACATCCTTAGAGTCTGGGCTACCTACTCTCCTTGTGATATGGGCTTAGAGATTTTCTATATTATTGCTTCTATTAGCATCTCCCCATATGTTTGCTGCACAATGCATGCAATCAAGTAGAGTTTGTTTTTGGTAGTACTCACATAAAGTAATTCCAACTCAAATAATAAATGACACCACCCTCTTCCTATAACGAAATTCAGAAAATAATACGAGCAGCATTTTAAAAAACCGTACAATGGAATACTTGGATGCTAGTACTTTGTTTTTGCTAATACATATATACACCTACCATTAAATTGTGAAATCCAAAAATATTCTAAAATTAGCATAATCAAGAAAGTTAATTGACGATGAGGAAAAAATTGAGCATGATCAACTATTCCGGCTTAGGATGAGCATAACTATGTAGAGGGAAATCAAGAATTGTTATTAGCACAAGTAATCATATTAACAAGAAATCAAAAGGGAAAAAAAAAGGAGTTAGAGAATTCAAGCCTATTATTAATTAGAACAAATTAGCATGTTTTTATATACATGAAACCAGAACAGGTTCACACATGACATGTAGGTCATGTCGTCTTATCAACAATCAAATTATGCAAAAATCATGTAATATAAGTACTTCAAGCAACTGAGTCAAAGATAGTAAAGCAGAATTGAGTACTTATCATTTTCTCCAGCCTTAGGTAGAAGAGTTGTTGGTAAGAAAAGGGATTGCAAAATCATTAATTTTATTTTAAAGTATATTCTCACCTTCATCACGCGGTACTAGAGTATTTGTTTGCTCATTTGATGATAAAATGAGCAATAATCATCGAAATGAGCTAACAATCTTGTGTGCACTATGCACCCGAGTGTATATAACAATTTCTAGATCCATTTTATCTTTCTCTTTAATAAGCATAATTAGGGGTGTCCACAATTCAGATTAAAACCGAAATCCAATCCAATCCAAACCGAATTATCAATTTGGATCGGATCCGAACTTTAAATCGGATCTGATCGGATTGAGATTTTTTGAAAATTCGGATATTCGGATTGGATTGGATCGATCCTAATTGGATCCACTCCAAACCGAAAACCGAATTGTAAAATAAAGCTTGTATAAATACGGATTTCTTTATTTTTTGAAGTTTAGCTCAAATACTTAATACTATATAAAATAAATTAGAGAGACTTTGTATTAATTAATTAATGACTTGATGTTGAACTATTTATTTTAATCATGATTTTGAAGACTTGAATTTATATTAAAGCTTTATTTTTATAATTGTATTAGACGCTAAAAAATAATGTATTATAATTCGGATTTTCGGATCGGATCCAAATAACCGAATTTTAATTCGAATTGGATTGGGAGAGAAATTCGGATTGGATCGGATTGGAAAATTGAAAATTGAATTATATTTCGGATTGGATCGGATTTGGACTAAATCCAAACCGAAAACCAAACGGACACCCCTAAGCATAATCCCTCCAAATTTGAAGAGATTTGGAGGGAAAATGGAGCTTACCTAGTTACCTCCCCCTCCCTTTCTTTTCCCTTCCCTTCCTCATTTTTCCCTTCCTTATTTGCTATCCAAACAAAGCATTAGTGTTTAAAAGATCATATTAGCTGGGACATCAATGACTGGTCAAATACAAATGTTGATCACTCCATCTCTATCCGGCTATCCTCATCCCCACTTATTTTTCACTCCACCACCGGTGACAAACACAATTCATTTCTCTTGACGGCCTAACAGGCACATAACTAGATCATTCACGTCACACCCTCAAATTATTGGATAGTCACACCCATCTAATACCCGTTTTATCCGCCCCAAGATTCACCACACATAACCAAGTTGGAACCTAAAGTCTACAAAATCTTGATTATAGAACATAACAAATAAATATCTTCGAATTTTTTTTCTTCTTATATTTACATAATCCAATATTTTTTATAAAATACAAATATGAATATCATACTATTTTAATAGCAGAAGATTTTCTAATCGGAGCGAATGCCAATGAGGCAAGGCGGGTATAGAAGAGAGAAGACACACTATCAAACCCAAATACCCACCCCTCTGGTCAATATTATTTTTTTCTCCTTCCCTACCAAATATACGTATATATCCATGACCCTATTTAAGATCTAGTTCTCTTCACCTTATTTTTGCAAAATTTAAATTTTAAATGTTAAACTAAAATTATTGTTAGTAAAATTAATTTTTTAAAATTATTTTTATTGATTTAAACTTATTTTTATATTAATTTTTTTTGTTATATTTGTTATTTAAAGTCACTAATATTTAATGAATAAAATAATATTTGTTAAACTTATTTTATTTTTACTAAATTGAAAATATTTAACTGAACTTAAAATTAATGTTATTAAATACTACGTATTATTCCTTTATTAACCCTTTTAAAACATGTTAATTCCGAACATAATCCTTAACAATTACGTACCTCCATTCTTTTAGTTGACACATTATTTTTTTTAGGAAGTTTAGTTTTAGTTGACACTTTTTCTTTTTAAGTAAGTTTTATACCTTGCTTTTTAGTGTACCATACTTGCTTTATCATTCTCTCTCTTCTCCTTAATATGTGTGCGGTGTGCCTAAATAGCACGTGTCAACTAAATAAAAATGGGGGAAATATTAAAATTTTATTTGTTGACAAACCACGCACATGACTGAATTGATACTTCTTTTTTGTTACCTATTATTTTTACTCCTTTGGTGAGTCATTTTCACAAAAATAAAATAAATAATACTCCGTAAATAAATAAAAATAATTAATTTTTGTTTGGCAAGTATCACGTGCACATATAAATTAAAGTGCTTTACAAATATTTGATTAAATTGAACAGAACGAGATTTGTTGACAATGCGTTGCGTGCATGCAGATCTAATAGCATAACTATGTTTAGACTTAAAATCGGAAAGATTTGGACTAATTTTGTTCAAATTTACGAACCTGTGGAATCTAGGCGTTCTAATTTTTGGATGTCCTTTGCTTTAAGCCGCGGAGTCAAGGAACTTGACTTTGTTGCTTATGTAAGGAAAGTCGATAGGCTTGCTTTTGTGAGGAAAGTCGATAAGCTACCATTAGCCCTCTTCGAGTGCAAAACATGGGAGATGTTAACACTAGATGTGAATCTTAGTCTTGAACTTCCCTCGTCTTTTAGTTTGCCAAACTTGAAAGTGCTACGCCTGTGTTTACCTTCTTTCCTTGATGAGACTAGTTTCGAGGTGTCCATTACTCGAATGCCTATCTTTGACATGATTCAGGGAATGTTTTACACCCACTGTTGTTATTTCTGCACCTTTTCTTACTAGTTTGGTTATAACACTTATAACCATCAATAAACATGAAAATCAGGGAAATAAGTTAATTCTTGATGCTCCTAATTTGAAGTATCTCGACTATTCTCTTGATTTGAAATCGCAATACTCGTTTGGAGATCTGAATTCACTCGTCGAAGCTCAGTTAGATATGCCCTTGACAGAAGTAAGGTTGTTCAAATCATTGTGCAATGTTCAATACTTATATCTCGGCGGAAGGTACATGGAGGTTTGTTTGTTAAATCATTTAATTATTCTCTGTTTCAATTATACAAAAATTTCTCTAATAATGAAACTATTTATTGTACTACTTTCTCTGGTGCTAGAGTCTCGAAAAATGTGGATTAAAGCATAATAAGCTGCCTATGTTTTGTAATTTACATTATTTAACGCTTATGTGCCTTGAGTCAATCCTATCATGAAGTAGTGTTCGAGATGCTTCATTCTTCACCTGTTCTAGAAACAATTTTCTTTCAGGTTAGCGCGCTTTTTATATATGTTCATCCACTCTTAAATCGATCTATGTCGTCTTTAATCCTTAGTTTCGATCTTTTCAGGAATTGAACATTTTATGGAATAATGTCGAAGTTATGCAAGACCTTGATTATTGGAATACTAATGAAACGATCCCATCTTGTTTGGAGTCGCACCTCAAAAGAATCGTGATGGTTAAATATATTCTGAGATACGCATTAGTTTTGGAGGAATTGGTTATAATCTATTCGAGTTCTTTGACGCTAGCCGAAAGGATATTGCTCGAAAGGGAATTACAAAAGCTACCAAAAGTCTCAACAACTTGTTCAATCAAGATGCAATGGACGTCATAAGAGAATTCTCCAGGTTTCTGATGGGTCTAGTTTAGTCTTAGATTGATGCCAAGTATATTTTGAGCTATTCTTAGCTTGTTACTTAGAAGTAATTACTCTTTTTGATATGGGGAGTACATTGACACCCCACTTTGGACACTTAAACAACGCACGTATTTTTATTTATTTTTATTTTTTTATTTATTTATTAATTTTTTTTTTGAGGAAACGCACGTATGTGTTTCGTATTACTAGAAATCAAGCATTTTGGCACGCATTTTGAAAAATATTTTGGCACGCATTTTGAAAAAGCGGCCGAAGATTGGATTTTCGTTTTAGATTTGGGTGTCTTTTTATTATATTAGTATGTAACTAGTTTTTGCCCCGTGTATTCATAATAGTAAGATATTGTAAATAACAAAAGTCAAGTAAAATGAAGTTAGTTTAAATATATATATATATATATATATTTTTTTTTTTTTTAATTTGAATTTATTTAGTGTCTACCTTTAAAACTCTCTTGTTAGATATATACTTTTTTATAAGTTTTTGTACGTTTTTATTCCTTAACTTTCTTTTAAAGAAAAAAAGGAAAAATAAAAAAGTTTTTGGCGGAAAAATTATTGTCGTGAATCCGATACGTGTACTTTACGGATAACTCTGGTGATTACTTTAGTATATAGTAAGTATAAATTCGCAAGATTAAATTTTAAAAGGTTGTAACTGGTAAAAGGGTAGTTTTAATTTGCAGTTTGTATTTGACAAGTTTTAATTAATTATGTCATTGCATAAATATGCATAAATTCAGAGAACATTTTCACTTAAGTAGCACCCCTGCCCTAATGCCAACTCTGCAAAATTACAGCACTAATTTAATACAATGAAATTTCTAAGAATAATCAATTAATCAGCCATAAAACGTATATTTATCTAACTGGGCGAGATTAATAGTTACCAATTGTCACTACGATTAGCAGTAATCAAATGATAATTGGATTCAGATACTTAAGTACGTTGCCATTATAAATCTCAATTATATATTAGAATTTAAAATTGTTTAGCCTCAAATTATATGAAGTTTCGATTGTACTGTGTTCCTAATCCTCATACATTTTAATCTTGGTCAATTCTTGTTCTACTTAAAAAATACGGGAGTACTTAATGATCATAATTGCAAGTGCGTGGGCACTATATGCCTGAATTATTTTTAATGTTGAAGTCTTATACGAAGTAAGTTTTTAATGGCGCCTTTGTCTACTGTATTTGATCTTACATTTACTATTTGCACATATATTTTTAGGTATATTATAGCATGGATGTGTGAGTGTAAGATAAAAGGTGATTAAAGTATGAGAGAACGTGAAAAAGTGATCGAATGAGAGAGCATTGGTGGTGTTTTGATAAATATGTTAAACAATATAAGGTTTTGGATCTTTTGATTCATTTTTTTTAGAAGAAATTGATGCCCATAGTCTCAATCATGATCGGTCTTTTATATTTAAAAGGTTTTACCTATTAATTAATTAGGGTGGTCCAAACTTTTTGGAGGTCCTTCCCAAAACTATCCTTAACATTTTTTTAATCGGTTTGACAGGTTAATACTTAATAGTGCCATGTGTTTTGTGTTCATTAGGCGTAGTTTTTTTAAAAAATAATCCTCTACCACTCTGAACAACTACCCCCTCCCTTTAGGCTCTATTTCTTCACCTTCTAACAATAAGTTCCAGTAAAATGGACCACTAAAATTCAACAGGTGGCAATTTAAACGATTTACCCGATCATAATGAGGAAGGGACTGTTTTAAGAAGGACCACTTATACTTGGGACCGATATGAGTACATCGATATATAGTTGAGGCCTTTCAAAGAAAAATGTCCATAGTTGGGACTAATAGTTTCAGTTTTTTCATTTCTTTATTATAATTCGATGAAATAACTTCACTTAATTTTCATAAGTGAGATGTTCGATTTTTCCGGTTGAAAGTGAACATTGTGCACTCAGGTAAATACCCCATAGGGCGGCGGGTCGGCGCTCACCATGAATAAATGACTAGAAACACATAAGTTTCAAGGAATCACCTCCAATATTATTCCAAACAACATTCCATGACAAAAGTAACGGCATACGTACGTACTCATATAAGAGTAACATACGCAAATAGCAATAATACAACAATATGATCATAAGAAAGTACAAAAGCACAACATGGAAGAAACTTAAAATTCACTTATAACATAAATTCAAATGGCCTGGAGATGCTAGCAAGATCGCCGAACTAATCAAACAACCTCACCTCAATCCTTTGCCTCGAGCTAGTGTTAAACATGCCTATGCTCGATCTGATCTGATCTAAGGTGATCTAGTGATTGCAATCGTACCACAAACCCCATACATGAGTGGAACAACAGTAAAACGTATTCGGGGGCTCAAACGAAATATTATACGAACAAACTAAATCATTGCAACAGTCACTATCAGTGTTGCATTCATAACCTCTCAAGGTGCAGTAGTCCCCTAATACCATACTATCTGCAAAATAACAACCAACACTAATTACTTAATAAACATTATACTAGCTATATTTTTACATGATTATTATGAGATTAATACTTTGATCGAGTATATAACTAACCTGATGCCATTAGGATTAGTAGTAATCCTAAGATAATTGGCTTCAAATACTTGATCGAATGAGATGCCATTCTCTTGATTATTATCAACTGAACTCTAGCAAATTGAATCTGCCTTTTTTTTTTTTTTTTTGAAGATACTTACTTAGAAAATAGATTGAATTACATGGTTGGAAATGTATTTACATCTTCACTATTTATATAATGTCTTTGTATAGTCAAGTTGTTATTGTTTAAGCAACTTATGAGAAAATATAAAATAAACATTAATGAGATTAATCAGACCAACAAGTTGATATATTTACTGTGGGACGAGCAAAAGCCCATGTAGGATAATGGTTTAACGTGGGTTGGGTCAGGGTACGTGCAGGTCGGGTCAAGTCAAGTTAAAGAGGACCATATTTTTATAAGGTCAAAAAAGGGTCGGGGCAATGCTGATTGTGAATGATAGGCGACTTAATAAACTATTAATAAAAAATAATACTTGTATAGGACAAAGCCAAAATTAAGTACTTGTATATAAAATGATTACGAATATATCCATGTAACTTTTAATACATTATCTATGTAGTATTTTCTTTGGCTAAAAAATTTGACAAACATTTTGATTCTATAAGGACCCTGTCGATTAAGAGCCCTTTAACCTTGGCCCTTATTGTACTCTATTATCATTGATTCATTGGGCTACTCTACCTGATGACTAGGTCAATCTAACATAGAAGTCCGACCCTAGATAAAGAGATCATCAAAAAATCGGGGCTGAACACAAACTCACATGCAAGAACTTTTAAAAAGTCATATACTCATATGAGCTAAGATATTGTAAATTTATCATAACTAAAGATATTGATAGTCAAATGTAAATCTTAAAATTCGAGAAAAGTCAAAACAAGAACAACATGACAATAAAATAGAGGGAGTAATACGATGAAGATGCACATTACGTACTTCACCCATTAATCACTTGTAAATATAAGATGGATTTGATGTAAATGGAGAATAATTCAGGTGATTAACAAGTCAAAAGAAAAATAAACCGTTGGTGAACGAACGCTCAATCCACCTCCAATCCATAACTCCATTGCCACTCTCCTAGTCCCATGACTCCCAACTCATATGATCGATGAAAATAACATTGTAAGGTGATACTGAGTATTACATGTGCATTGCATGAGTACTCAATAATCTTCATCTAAAAAATCATATTGTAGTTGGAAACGGAAGTTACGGATCATATTGTAGCATTCATCATCGATGCACCTCATGAAAGTTCGTTCAATTATTTAAAAAATCATATATAATAGAATAAATATATTTTCTCTATTTAATAAATTGTAATAGTTTGACTTTTATTCTATTCATTAATTTATATAATTCATAAACGAATTAACTTAGATCGTATGCTATTACTATTCCTAGTATATTGAGTATGGAGTATTGTGGATTTGTGGATTCAATAAAATTGTCAATGTTCTTTTATGTTGGGGTTGTTCATCCCAAGTCCCACATGGAAAGATTAAGGAAGTGAAAAAAGCTCTTTTTTTTTTTTTGAAGGGAAAGTGAAAAGTGCTTTTTATAAGTGGAAGCACACTCCAATAGTTTGAGACCTTTTGGGAAGGTGCCCAAAAATAAATCCGTGCGGCCTAAACTCAAAGCGGACAATATATTACTAATGTGAAGTGGAGTGTGCGTGCGACCTGTCAAGGTGGGGACTCGGGCCCAACATTTTATGTGTAAGATGTTGAGTTCATCTCCTTGCATACTTGCTTATTTGCAATATATGTATCTAAGTTTCATGGTACAATGTCTACTACTACTGTATATGACTAAAACTACTATTACTCCCTTTTTTGATCATTTTTTTTTAAAAAAAAAAAAAACAAAATTATATTTCAGTACTAGCTTAGTGGATGGTTGAGCAATTAATTGGATTAATATACAGTACTAGCTTAGTGGATGGTTCAATAATACCATTTGAATGCTTAATAATTCTATTAATGTGTAAGAATCCAAACCTCCTTTGTATGCTTTACATTATTTTTAGGCTGTTTATTGGATTTCTCAAGCCTTAATTTCCATTAATATGTTTATGTCAATCCAATATTCACAGAGAATATCTTGTAAATCTAATAAGAAGCTAAGCTTGCTCTACGTACAGGAACCAATGATCAATGAATGAGAATCAAACTTGTTCTGAAAAAAAAGCATCAAACTTTATTTCCTAAACATTGTTGCCTTGTTTTAAATTAATGTGTTGTTTTAGGCCCTCAATAATATTTTGTCGCTCATTGTGAAAAATTTGGGAGTAAATATTGGAATGGTACGTTAACCTTAAAGGAAAAATTTTAAACTTTAATTAAGATTCTCATTTTCTTTGTCAGAAATTTTTTATTATTTAGAATAATTTGGTCATTTGGAACTCTTAGAGTCCTATTGTGCTCCGTATATTTGTATGATAGAAAATCTATCCCTTGTATTCTGATCCGTAATTTTATCTTTCCCCTTATTCCTCTTTAACACGCACTAAGCTACCTAACATCTTGTGTACTCTTATTTGTTGTAAATCTTGTAATACTAAAGAAATGGAAAAAGTACTTCATATAACCTTTTATTATCAATGAATCAATTTATCAAAGTAAAATTGTTAATTTTTTTATGTCAAATAGCTTTTCCCTACTATATTTAGGGAATTGAAACCGAGAAACACATTATAAAAATAGAAAGAATGAAGGAAAAGAGAAGCTAGGTATATATTTTTAAAAAATTGCATCAAAAAAAATATTAAAAGATAAAAAAAAAATAAACATTTTATTCAGTGCTTCTAAGTTGTAACTACGTAAGACTTGAGCTAGAAAGACATTTTATAGACATTGAGTTGTCACCGAAATTTTCTAAAATTCACCAAATGCTCTGACAGTGATTAATTAATATTTGAAATCAAAATATGAACTTTTAAAAAGAAAAATCATCTTTAATAAGTTTGACCGAAAAAAAAAACACTAAAAAATAGTCAATCAAAATTGAGTATAATTTTCACTAATAAAATGGACGTAGCAAAATTTAAAAGTTTTGTCTACTATATACTTCCAAATATAAGTTTATATTAGTATTATAGATAATGTCGATGGTAGACCTTATTTCAATAGTTAATCACTCTCAGTTAAAAATTTACCATCTCTGAATTTTCAAAAAGTTTCAAAAACTTGGATGATGGACGGTGAATTGGTGAATTTGGATGGAGACTAGTCCGGTGATGAATGGGTTGGATATCCACCTCCGAATCTTCGATCCATTACCATCTCATTATTAAAAACACATTATTGAATTGACCTGCACGTGTATGTTATAAATATGTTAATCTTTTTTTTTTTTTTTTTTTTTGAACGAATTAATCTAAGTCAATTATTATTCTAATTGAATACTTAAATTATGGATCGGAGTAATTAGTCATCATCAATGCAACTTATGCAAGCTGGTACACTTTTTAAAAAAAAATTACGGAGTAAATAAAATATACTTTCTCTATTTTTGCACACGTAGTAATAATTATACTTCCTCTATTTTAGGGGTGATAGTGGATTAAGGTCTTTTTGATTCATTTGATTTTTTTTGAAATTCTTATATCTAAACTTATTTTGTTTTATCTTAATCTATTTCATTTTTTAATTTAATATGAACTTATTGTATTTAAATTTTCTGAAAAAATTTTTGTTTGGGATTATTTTATTTTAATTAAATTTAACATAATTTATTTTATCTGAAATTATTATTTCTGAACTTTTTTTTATCCAAACTTATTTTTTCTGAAATCAAGTAAAATATGATGAAATAATATGGACAAACAAACCCTAAGTAGATTGAATCCAAATTCGAATCGTGTCACGTTCATTTTAAATAGAACTGAGTCACGGACTTTGTTTACGTAAAATTAATTAACATTAAACTCAAGTTGATTTTGAATATTGTAAATTCTTCATCCGCTATAAATAACTATGTTACGCTAATGTATATATGTGAGCATGTTCACCACGAATTTATTGACCTGAGCTTTGGCTCATGAAAATTTCAAGGCGAGCTCGAATAATAGTTCACAAATTACCTAGGCTCATTAACGCCCTCACACTTTTCCTTTAAAACTCTTCAGCAAAACATTTTGCATTTGTAATATTCACAAACTTGTTTTGATCATGTGCTTTTACCAATATATATCCTAATAAACATACGTTCTTATGCAAGATGTTGGACTCTTCTCAATGCATTTATATACCTACAACGTATCAATTAAAGTCGTTTTACGATTTTTATTTACTAATATATTACTAAAGATGTTTGAGATTAATAATGTATTTTGACAAATGTGTCAGTTAAATTGTTAAATAATGTCACTATATATTAGCACCCTAAGAAGTTAGGACTTGTATCGACTAGCTTACGGAGGGTAGCCTATGAATTGGAATCACGCGAAGACATGCATCATAGATGAAATCCTTAAACGCCTTGAATATGACATGCACAAGCCTGTTATAGACTATGAAGAGCTTGTTGAGCTTGAATTAACTGTCAAAAAACAATCCTGAACAATCTAGCATGAACCTATTCTAAATTTGAACCGAAATAAGAGTCAAATTGGTGCATTATTACAACATTACTTGATCTAAAATGACCCAATCTGAAGTATTTTGCTCCTTGCAGATTCTAAAATATATTGGTTTCACTTGCTCTTTGTTTCCATGTTAAGATTGTACGTTGTATCATAATCTTTCTTGATATAAATGAGTCCAATTTCTTAATTGAAGTTGAATTTCATTTACTTTTTCTCTTTGTGTATATTGATAAAGAATTTCTTAATTTTCCAAATCTAACTGATGTTGCATGTATAATTTCTCAATTTTTATATCTAGAGACGGCTAACATTGGAAAAGCATTAGTTTGGTTGAATTATTAAATGGTATCAAGATTTGAGATCTTATACTAATTAGATTTAACATTTATTTTTCTTTGTTTACGATAGAGTATAAAAATCAATCTTGCGATTCAAAATATATACCTAGTTTGATTGGTCATCTAATATGGTATGAATCAACTTGAAAAGAAAGTCATCGTTCACATGTTCAAATCTTATCCACCTTTCATTTCGACTAGAATGATTAGTGTTATGGATGGAGAGTCCTATGTTAAGTTTACTCATTTAACCTAAATATTGACAATGAGGCAAAAATTAGGGTCAAACGGAGTATAATACTGTATAACAATACAACAATCTTTTATTACATAGAAAAAGACGATAGATAAAAAAAAAAAAAAAAAAAAAAAAAATACAACAGAAACATAACATGATAAATCTTAAGATAGATTCACCTAAAAGATAACATTACTGGCGGGCGAGTTAGCTGATCGCCTATTCAAACGACTGAATCTGACCCTTTTGAACTCAGAACTCCGCCCCACTGCACCCTGCCTAGCCTCGGCGCTGGCCAAGGTTCATCCGGTTCATTGGCTATAGGTCGCAATCATGCCAATACCAGGGACCACTACAACACAAATAATACTCATAGATTGAAATGGGCCACAATCTTCCGATACAATCTAATCCTTCGCAACAATCATGTGCACTATAGCATTGATTACCTTTCGCGGTGCATGTCTGCCCTAACACCATATCTGCAAAATCACAACACCAATCAATTAACAATAAGCCTAGAATTCATTGATTTTATACTTCTTTTGTTCTCCATATATTGCAAAATGCGGATCCACAAGAATTAAGAAAGCAGGTAAAAGGTGGAAAGCACCACAAAATGACGTGAATTATCTATGGAATATGTGTGAGTAAGGTGCGTGAAAATAAATGTTAGATTTCCTTGAAGAGAAAATATGTAACATTTGTGAAAAATCTTAATTTAAAAACATTATTATTGTTGCAATATTTAAAGGACGAATTATTAATTAAACACAAACTTGCTAATTAAAAAAAAAAAAAACCTGATGTCATTAGGATTAAAATCAATCCTATGATAATTGGCTTGAGATGTTTTAAAAACACCATATTCGCGAGTAATTGCTTTCTAGTTAACCTGGTTGTTTCGAAGTATACTTTTCCTTGTTTAATTTGTGGCTTGGTTGGAAAACGCATTCACATCTTCTCTATTTAATGCCTTAGCTTTTCATGTTAAAGTCAACTTAATTTTGTTAATTAAAATAATTAGATTATGTAGTTTATAAGTTTGGAAGACATGTGCTAATCCTCGTCCAAATATGCTTTGACATTGATGATACATCTTGCTGAAGATTATAATACGCTGCCATGGTATGAATACTTTATTAAAGAGAAACCATTAATTAGTATAATAGGAGTACAAGTTTGTATTGATATTTTAATTTAGATCCAACTTATATTAAGAGTACCCCTCAAAAAAAAAAAAAAAAAAAAAAAAAAAAAAAAAAAAAAAAAACCTTATATTAAGAGTACATTATTGTTATTATGCGCAGATCGAGTTGCATGACTTATTTAATTAGTCCAGAGAGAGCCAGCCATGAAATTAAGGGACAAATAATGTGGATGAAATTTAAAACTTACTTTTGGAAGTGGGTATTATATCCTAAATCTTTAACTAGTTCCAATAATCAGCATTTACATTGGACTTAAGTTACACTATCCCCGTTTCTAAATAATGTTAACACTTTCCATTATTTGGCATAACATTTACATAACATTGTCATCATTTCACTCGCCATTTCTTATTGCCTTTGTCTCAGAATAATTAATAAGGTCAAACTTGACACACATGTCAATACAAACATACAGTAATTTGAGCTTATATATAAAATCAAACATTAATAAAAAAAAAGATGATATTATATATGCAACTTTATATAATACTTATTTAACAACATATTGCATAAAATTAACCAAGAAAATCAACCTTCTTCAAAAACTTTCTCTCTCTAAACCCTCTTTCTCTCTAGATGCGAGGAAGAAGAAAGGGAAACAGAGCTCGAAGGAAGAGGAAGAGCCTGCAGTGAAGATTTCTAAGAGTTTGGATCCTTCAATTCCCTACGATGGGGGACAGAAAACGAAACCTCGAGGAAACTTGGGTCAAATTCCGCCATTGTAGTCAGCTTATCGCGGGTAGTTGTCGTTGTAACAAAGTTTATTGATGAAGCTAAAAAATGGGATTTGTAGTTGAGGCTTACGCTAACGTGACGCTATTTTGTACTGCCGAAATAATGTATTTACGAAATGTATTTTCAATGTAATTCGCCGAGATTCAGAAGAAACAATTTTGTGTTATCAAAGGTAACGTGTTGTCGATTACAAATCCTTTTCCAAGTTGTTATTTGAAATAGTAGTAGATGGCTTTGAAGTTAATCTCGACATTATAACTTATGTGGAATAAACAGATACCGATATACATATGGTCTAATGTAATATTAGGACATTTTGAAATAGTTACCGAGAAGGTTGATGAAGATTTTAGAAAGCATATTCTTAATAATATTTATACTTTAGGATTATCATTTATTACGATGAAGGTAAATTGATAAACCTGGATATTGATTTGTGCAATGTTGAAAGTAATTTTGTAAAACAAGTGTTGCCGTTGTAGGACATTTGTTCGGCTACTATGACGTTGTTAGTTTGTAGGTAAGACTGCTGATTAAAAGGTCCATAATTTCGATTGCTAATGACCAGTAAGTTATGAATAATTATTTTCTTATAAAATGTATGGAAGATGAAATTGTAGATTATGAAATAATAGATGAAAGGACTTTAGAATGAATAAGTACGTTGTATGTCGGTGAATTAAATCAGAAACATGTTTCGGTCGATCATTTTGTTGGATAAACAGTACTACATTACGTAAGCATAAGATTTTATGTTTCAGTACTTGCCGATCTCACAGTGGTCCTTTTTTATGATAATCTGTTGATTAATTTAATATCTGAATAAAATTAATTTGTTATTGGGTGATAATGTTTTTGTTTTTTTAAAATAAGTTGTCTACAATATATTTTAACTAAACAATCTTGATACATGGGGTCGTTAAGTTATGGTAATAATATTTCCGAAGTTGTGTCACTATTAATGACTTCGGCTTATTCTGTTGAAACTGTGGTAATTAAATACTTTTGTTAATTTTTATTTTTTTACAAAAATTTCAGTGTAAGTTTCTATTTTTAATGATTTTTTATTAGGTTATTGTTGATTTTTTTTAATGTCTGGTAAATCAAGAACGAAGGATTGTTATTTCGGAGATGGATGGAATAATAAGTACCAGTGAAAGCATTTGGAACAAAAGCAGGAACAAAGACCGTAATATTTAATAAATATACATTGAAAGTATTTTGAATAAAAGCAGGAACAATAAGCGTAATATTTAATGTATATACATTTAGATATTAATATAATAATTGCTAAACAAAAGGTAAAAGATTAAATTTACATCTTATTCATTCTCGAGCTTGTTTGAGGATCCATTATTTACTTTGTAAAAACAATTGTAATTCTCAAGAACGGCGATGGTGTTAGTATAACCGGAAGCTGTAGAGTGCGTCTTTCGGAGATTTTCGGACAACACAAAGTAATAGTCTTCTCCTCAATTCTCAAGGACGATGATGGTATTAGTATAGTCGAAAGCTCTCGTCGAATTCTGCTTTCTGAGGTTTTTGGACAACACAAATTAATAGTCAGTTTCTCCAAGTTTGTTGCAGCTTTTAATACACACGAGACAAGATGTACTTGACATACATTGTCCAAGAAGATTGTTACATGCTTGAGATTCGATAGCCAACCTTCTTCGGCTACACAATTTATAGAGGTATCAATCCACTCAACCTATAAAATAAATACCAAGTATATTGACACAATTAGATTCAAATTAATTTAATTATGGTTACGAAATGAAAATAAACAACGACATAATTCTTTGTACCTACCTCCTCGAATATCAATGATTTCAACTTGGGAGTTTTTCTTAGTAATTCGTAGGTGAAAGTTTCGGCTTTCACCGCCAAATGAGTTAGGTTTCCGAAAATCGATAGTTCTCTCCCATTAAGAAAAAGCTACGTCGAATTTAGATGAATATTATTAATTCAAAACAATGTAACATATTATGTCAATACGTCTCCATCATAAGTTAAATATAAATATTGTAGAAATATATACTTACCCCAGAAGTTTTGAGTCTCGAAGATCTGACTTTGGAGGCCTTGCTTATAAGATAATTGATATTTTGATAAATATCATAATCACTTCCATATTCATTGACCATAACTGGGAAATTTTCCCTAAGATTTAGATTCGCCTCCGTAAGCCAAGCTAAACTATCAACCATGTAATATGTTATTTCATCATCAATACTAAGGTACTCAAGAATCGGTGCTTTAATGCTAATAATCAGAGATCTGCCCCAAGCCTGGCTCACGATATCACAAATTTCTAATGATTTAAGTGTCAGGGACTCTACAAAAAACATCTCGTCGAAACCAGTGCACTCCTTGATAATTATTTTTTTGAGAATTGGACAATTTGATGTAAACCTCTTCATATATTCACTACCGTTGAACTCGACTCTAACAAAGTGGACAATTTCAAGGGATGGTAGATGAAAATACTCTGGAGTATCATTCACTTTCACAACCGTTAGTTTCAACATCTTTACTCCCTTTCCATAAATCATCTCTATAAATTTGTAACTTCGACTTCCGCCTAAAGTGAAATTCAAATCAATTTCATAATATTCACGTTTTTTGGCAGCATCCAACCATGATTCGTAGTAATCACAATCATCATCACAGGAAAATTCATAACAAAAACGCTGCAAATAGAATGCATTGTTCTCAGCTAAAACCTTGTTCACAAATTTATTGTAGGAAATTTTTGCCTCGTTGCACAATGGATGATAATTTTCTGGTATCTCAATGAAATCAAGTACAGGTACTTGATTCCACACTTTCTTCCATCTTTTTGACAATACACAGGTCTTTACAGCAGACTTTGTTGGTAAAAAAGAAAGTATATGACACAATATTGTATCATGTAAACTACTAATGTAATCTGTTTCTCCTACGGGATAACTGATGTCACTCATACTTTGAATTTTAATTGTAAGAGGTTTAAATGAAAAGATGATAGTGATTAACGTTTTCGATATAGAAGGGTAGTTTCTATAAATGGAGTACTTGACGGATGTGTTATTATAAATGAAAGAAGGAGAAAAAGAAGAGCATAATAATTTGTTTTAAAAACTTTACAGTTACCAAAACATCTATCGAATAGATAAGTATTGGAAACTTAAAAACGTAATAATGGAAAGTAATTGTAATTATGATGAAAGGGTTTAAATTGTTTTAAAACCGGGTATTAGATTTTCTATATATTGTTATGTCGATTGAAGTGTCACTTGTTAATAAATTCCTCTTTATTTTTAAAAATAAATACGGGTTTTTTTCCAAGGATTTTACATTTATGAAAAACTATCAACATTTCCACTAATTCATTATAATTATGGTTTTCCGCAAAATAACTACACATTAAATTTTTCTACTTCTTAATTTGTTGGCTGAAATTTATGTTGGTTACATAGCTAAGCCGAAAGAATTTCACAACTATAATTCTGACTTCGACATATAAGTTTTGATTGTCGGTATTGTTTTACATATAAAGTCGAGTACAACCATTGTACATATAAAGTGAAGAGGGTCTCATAAGTGTGTTTTTTTTATCTGCAAATCCATCTTTTTGTTCTTCAAAGATGGAGGAGTAGAATTGCGTATTGCACCAGTTCTCTTATGCCCTTATCTTTTTCTTTCGGCGTTTTATTTTTTGGTTTGCGCCTCAATTGATACTCTTGGTTTGGGTCGGTACTTGTTTTCTCCTTTGGTTCTTTTATTGACTGTAGCATCGCTTCAATTAGTTTTCAAAACCCTGGTACTATTGTATCTATTCATAAGCGAAGGCATTGTGTTACATGCTACATAATTTAGCGATGTTTCTGTTGATCCGTTTTTGAATTACATATTTTCGTATGTCGTCCATATTAGTTGCTTTAATTTATACTTATTCATTATGTACTCCCGTTTGTTGTATGCGCCGAAGTACCTACACAGTTATTCTAGATTATATAAAATTACATCGAAATTATAGGAAAAGAAAAAAAAAACGAAAGGAATAGAGTAATGACCTTGGAAGAGGTACTTGTGGATCTTACAGTGGTCTTTTTTTATAACGAACTATATTAATAATAATATTTCAGAAATCATAAAGAATAGAACGAATGTGAAATAAAAATAGGGGTACACTATGGCGTTGGGAATGAGATGGATGATCATTGTTGATAACAAACTCTTGTATTTGGAACTTCTAAATAAAGCATACCTTTTTATATCTGAGCATCATGTTAGTTTGACTACTCTCGGATGTTGATAAACAAATTTCAGCTTTTCCCATCTTAGTTGTTATAGGCCAGAACAAATTTTTTAGATAGGATGGAAAAATTACAAATTGTTTTACAGAATTTGGTAAAAAGTACTTCATCAATAGCTTAGAGGTAGTGAATTTTGATTTGTGTGTTATTGTTGAAGAGAATGAAATGTTGAGTTGTAGATGAGGAAAGAGGTGGAGAGAACATAGAGGAAACGTTTGCTTATAATAGAGGACGAAGTAATTAGGTTAAGGACAGTGGATAAGTTGATGATGTAGCAAAGAAGTGTGATTTTCACAATTCAATGAACATAGATAATGTATTATATAATTATTATTAACTTTTTATATATTCAAAATTCAAAATAAACATCACAGTTTGTTTTTTGTTTTTTTCTTGTGATCTACATCCGACTTATCTATAGTGTTTTCTAAGAACATTTATTATTGTATATGTTCTTAGAGCACTATTTAAAAAATTTCATTCTCCAGTATCACAAAGCTGGAGTTAAACATATTTACAATCATTAATTGTGTAAAAGTCATTGAGCTTAATAACTAATAGGAAAGGCAACTGACAAAAGAAAGGAGATTTGTGGGCGAAGATTGGATTACACCCTGAACTTTGATTATATCATTCTTCTGGATCCTTCTCGGCAACTTCATCACTTTTACTTTCAGTCTTCTCAGGTGTTATGAAGCGGAGTTTTTTTGCTGCTGTACTTTTATCATAATCCAAGCTGCTCTTTGTGTCTCCAATGGGTGCTGGAGTCACTGGAGAATGCTTGGTTCCACTCATGCGAGTGCGACAGAGGTATGTCCATTCAGTTGTTGATAGTTTTGGAGTCTTGATAGGTTCAGCTCTCAGTATAGTTGAATCTTTGACAACATGTTCTCCTTCATCAGCTATGACAATACCTGTGAGTTGGAATATTTATATACTAATTGTCATGAGGGATTTGCTGTATTCAAAGAGATTATTAACTTATATATTAAGTACGTGATAAATTAAAGACCTTTTGATATATACTAATTGTCATGAGGGATTTGCTGTATTCAAAGAGATTATTAACTTATATATTAAGTACGTGATAAATTAAAGACCTTTTGATGGGAACGGGATATTTGGTATTGGTATTTCTGAAAGTTTTTCTTTTCCTTTGTCTTTTGCTTTTGAATCTGGTGTTTCTTCATTTGTTATTTCAACATTGTCTTCTGTTGTATTAATTGCGGCTCTCCGTTGATGCTTGATTGGTGTAAATGCCTCACTATTATTCGGGTCTGAATATTCGGATTCAGCATTTCGTGCAACAGATAATTTTGCCTCATCTTTTTTTGATACATCATCAGAAGTTTCAATAGTTTTGAGCGACCACTCCAACACGCTGCTTGAACCAAGAGAATTAGATGGACCGAGCTTGAAAAAAGTGGTTTTTTTGCGGAGTTTCTCTTCAATTTCTTGGAAACCAAATACATCGCCCTACACAATGTAATTGAAGTCATTGTATAAGTATCTTATTCACAAAAAAATGTTGTACATAGATATTAAAAAATGGCCTAACTGTATTTTAAATTTGTGTAAAAGTATTATTGAAAAGAATCATACACAATCTTTTATAGTTTTGACTTCTGCTGCGGTTTTACCAAACATTTTCTCGGTATCATTGTTGAACGATGTCAATGTCATTGATCCTGTTACATCGACCACCTCAAATTTGAAAGCGACCCTGTACAATGCAGAAATTATGTAGTCAGTTGTAGGGTTTTAATTGTGGAATATGAAATGAATGATTTTATTATAGAATGTAGGGATAAAATATTAAACTATATATGGTGCTTAATTGGATTGGAAATTGTACTTTAAAATAAATAAAAAACATTTGTACTATTAAATTATCTAGTTGCTTGATTCTATTATATAAGGGACCTAACAAACCTTGGAGCCGAAACACAATTTTTGTTGTCACAAAAAATACATGTAAATTGCCTTCCTTCTGGTACTCTGCATTTGTTCCCACACTGAGAGCAGCCTGTATAGACAAATACATTGTCCAAAGAAGCATTTGGAACGATTTCCTGTATCCAATGTCTTTCTTCCATTAACGAATTTGCAGCCTGAGAAAACGTTAGAAATAATATTAAAATTGTATGTTTTTTATTTATGTAGGCGCTTAACCAGTTTATATACCTTTTTTTCTTTCAGTTCTTCAATCGTTTTCATGGATGGTTCTTGTGTAGAATCACTTATTTGTAGAACTCTCGCTTGTCTGTCTTGTAGCAGCTGTTTCTGTGCAACTACCCTGAAAATATACGAAAAAATTGGTTTTAAACTATAACATTTAGTTTTTATTCATTAATATTTGTTGTTCATTATAATTACCATTCTCGTAACATGTTTGCCCTATCTCCTTTAGGATTATGAATTATTCTTGTAGACATAGTAGTTGATAAGGCAAATGCTGAAAAATAAAACACATGTTATTTTTTCAATTTTGTACGATCCAGATAAACAGTTATTTTAATTTTTTTTTCTTCTACTATAAATATTTCACCTCTGCGAGGATTATGTTTCAGTGCTGTAAAGCCAACAATGGTAAATTTTTCGGCCCAAAAATTTAACGCATCACTTGCAGTGCCTGAGAGGTCATTCCATGCAGAGATGGTTAATGTTTGGTTATGCCTGTGACAAAGGAAGAACTAATTAGTCATGTTTTTCAACAAACTACATAATTTAATTAGAAAGTAATTTGTTGGATTGTTTTCCTTACGTCTGGTCTGTAATAACAATTTCTCGGATATAGCTTTCGGTATTATATTTGGAGTTGATCTGCCGTGCTGCTTCTTCTACAAATAATATCAAACCTAGTACATCTGTACAATTACCATCATTAAAAACACACAATATTAAAGGATTATCTGTAATTATAGTTGTATCATTTAATTAGATGTATGTAAAATTTCAAAAGGACAACAGGAACGACAAAAATACGTAAAAAATATTTTTTTTCGAAGCAATTGTTTCACTTAGTCGTAGAAATGTGTTAATAATTAAGTGCTAAATTATTTTCATTTACAGTTATGTTATAATAGAAACAATAGATTAAGTATAGGAGAATACCATATCTTTCATCAGCAACCTCTAGTTTTGGGATTGAAGCTATTGACTGATATTGTGGTACCACATAACCAGTTTCAGTGCAGATAGGTTGGACAACCGTTCGATGATTGAAATGTAGTTGATAAGGCAGTTGATCATGGGTAGTCCGATATTGATCATCAATTGGCTTGACAGTTGCATTGGATATTTTGTATTCCCCATTGTATGCAATGGCTTCATCATATGCTTTGATTTGATCTCCAAAGAGAGTGACACGCATCTTGTTATTCTGGAATAAATACAATTATGAATTTTTTATTTTCATGTTATCATTTTATTTGTAGGCATAAACAGGAAAACTTTTATTTTTTAGCAGTGACAGTAATATAAATCACATCAGGAATACTAATCCAAACCGTCTAAACGATTCGAAATTATCAGAGCATTATGACAAATGTTTTATCAATTGGAAGAGCTATTAGTGTCGTAAAGCAATAATAGTCATAACAATGATTTTACTAATATATATATATAAAAATATAAGTATCCTTATAAATCAAAACTGTAACATT